TTGGCCAATCATATCTTGTAAAATCACGGAATGATCTACAAAAATTAGCCAATCGGAATGAAAGCCCGCTATGCTTTTCGGCACTAATTTTATTGAAAATGGGTTAACGTTAACAATTAAATAGTGTTTAATACTTTATATAAAACCGTGATAGTTTCTACGCCTTGTATATTTTTAATTGATGCACTTACGAAAAAAAAGAAGTTGACGAGATGACAAAATATTAATTATAGTTTAGGGTAGTACGTGTACGCACGCACCTATGCACATGTGTCTTTTTAATGACAAATCGATCCATAAAAGGAAACTTCATTAATGCATGTGTTACACGATCTATGTTAATTAATTTATCGTCAACTAAGAAACCAGCCCCAGGTCTTTGTTATTAACAAAAAAGGTAATTCCAGATCTTGTAATTCAAATTTGGTAATATCTTTGTTTACAAAGCCATTATCAAATTTACTCGTCGAGAGCTTTATTCATAATCTTTTGTTTTCCTTTATCAGAGATCCCTTGTTTAGGTTTAAATTAAGAAAAAAGTTCATGCATGAGACGATCTGATTTTTTTTTTCATGCATAAGTAGTTAATATGGCCATTATTGCTGTTGACAATGCTTCATAAATCTACATGTTACCAGTTTCATCAACTAACGTAAAAAAAAAAAAGCATATAAACTGTCTCGCATTTCTTTGTTAAAAAAATTTTTAATATGATTTCATGTCATAGCAAATTACAATCGATAATTATTCCTTTGTCGAATTATCATAGTTCGATGTGTATAATTTAAAGACTTTTTTTCACTTCTTTCTGCTAAATCCTTTATTCATCTCTCCCTTGAATTGATAAATTCTTATTTTTTAGAGGGGGAGAAAATTATTAAGCAGAGGAAGATAAATTGTATAATTTATATACATAAACTTGATAAGTATCCGGGATACTTTATATAACCATCCTCCTTCCAACTTACACTTATATAATTTCCTCTATTAATTTTCTCCATCTAGTATAAAATTATATCATCATTCATTTTTCATTAGGTCATTCTATTTTCTACACACGTGTATGCGCTTATATTAAAAAAAATGGCAGAATATTTTTTCACTACCGTAACATTTTTAGCAATATTGCTATGCATCATTCCAGGAATATTCCATATTCAATCAAGGAACTGGGGTGCAATTCTTATGATATTTTGGGTAATAACGACAAATACCATACTATTTATAAATTCTATACTTTGGGCTAATGATCTAGATGATAAAGCTCCTATTTATTGTTTAATCTCTTCTCCAATATATGTTGGCGCAAATTTTGGTTTATTAGCTTCTATTTCTTGTATGATTCATACTCTTTACAGTCTTATTGCACGTCCTACGATTATTACTGAGAAAATGAAAAGGAGACAAGCTATTATAGATTTTAGTCTTATAATTTTAGTTCCTATAGTTCTTACTGGATGTTTTTATCTCATCCAGACAAATAAATACGCAATTAGACCTGTTTTAGGTTGTTTCTCACCAGCAAACGTAAACGGTTTGTTTTTTTTAATCGATGGAATATGGCCTGTTTTAATTTCTATCATTGGTTGTTATTATGCAGGTATGTAAATTGTTAGAAATTCGTTTTTTTTTTGCTTCATATTGATATGAATAATTCTGTTTATTTATTTATTTATTTATTATTATTATTATTTAAGCACTTACAGCCTACGCGATCTTGAAGAAAAAACTTGAAATTCAATCTCTTTTGAGACGTAATGAATCTGGTCTCAACACAGCAAGATTCTATCGTCTCGTATTTTTTTGTATCACCTACCTAATATTCGCATTTCCGACGGCACTCTTGATATTTTTTAGTAATCTTGCGAAATGTCAATATATAACAGATTTCAGACCTGTTTTTTATTTTCCCGAATATTCGTTTAATACAATTCCCATATTGCCGTACGGTTTAGCAGTTTTCGATTATGTTAAACCTTTAACTGGCTTTTTCGTATTTTTATTCTTTGGTACTGGTCGTGACGCTTCAACTGCATATATAAGATGGGCTAAAAAAATTCATTTAGATAAAGTATTTTCATTTTTGAAAGGGAATTATGATGATTTACGTAGTCAACATTCAAAATCTTCAAAATCCTCGTAAGTATTTTTATTCATTATTATTATTAAAAAAATCGTAAATTTCATTATCGTTAATCTCTTCTTTTTTATATTCACTTTTTGTATTTACTTTTTGTATTTACTTTTTGTATTTACTTTTTGTATTTATTATTAGTCAAAATTCTACTGTTCAAAGTAATGGTCATGATTCCTCATTTCCTGACTCTCCATTTAAATCTCCAAAACATATTCCTCACCTATCTGATTCTTTTGGTGATGAAAAAGATGATAATGTCACATTTACAACAACTGTCTCTGCTACTATCCCAAAACCAAAGAAAGGTTTGGGTAACATATTCTTTCTTAGCAGTCATCGTACACCTACTGAACAAGCTCAAATTGATATGACAAGTGGAATTCACATTAGAATTGATGGTTTAACTACAAATATTATTGAAGAAGATAATGATCATTCAATAGAAGAACCTGTTCCTATTTATCAAACTGTAGATGTGTTTCCAAGAGGAATTCATGAAGCTCTTGATGAGTATGATGAATATGATGATATGAGATTGGACAAACAAAATGATACTTCAACGTTTGGTCCACTTTCAAGAAGTGCTTCAGTAACTTCTTCTTCAACTATTTATGAATATAATAATTCTTTAAAACCTAAAACTGTCCAACACACAAATATACAACCTGCGTATGTTGATGCTAGTTCATTAGTACATACTGAAGATGGTTATGTTTAGTGATTCTTTGACAGAATAAGATTATATCCCTTTTTTTGTAGTATCAAATAGAACACTGATACTGCATTATAAAATTTTATTTAGACATTTTTTTATAATTTTTAAAATATTTGTAACATTAGTATAGATTTTATATCAATCACTTTATATATAACACTTTGTATGGCATTTTTTAGCATAGAAAAATAATCATTGATTATTTATAATAGCATTCATTTTTTTTATATATTTCATCTGTCAATTTCCATTTTATCCTATCATTTTACTTTGTACATAAAATCTGTTGGTACAATTTTTTGCATTTTATTTATGTTTTTTTTTAAAAAAAATAAACTATAGACCCACACCTAGTTAAGATCTTGAATACAACGTCCTATATATCGTCAACGAATATAATCAGTGTTTAAAATTCAGAACAAGCCTTACTTGCACCGTTGCAAAGTAAAAAATTTTTTTGCTTACACAAATATAATTTTTTTACTGTACGTTATAGGTTTGGAATTCTTCAATATATATATTTTCATGACCTTCACCGTTCGTAATTTTCCAAATTTATCATGGAATCTGAGTTTAAGTTAAAAAGACTTTTACATATCTAATAAAGAAAAGAATATTTTCGGAACTAATTCCAATAAATAAAGTTTATTCTTAACTTTACAAAGTTAATACTACATTACAATGATTTTGGCAACTATTATAAAAATAACAAAGCGAGCTTTATTTCGATTTTGAGTTTTAAACTAGAGGATGGAATAGATTAATGATCTTTCGATCATCGATAAAAAGTTTCAAGCAGCGAAATAAACTTTCATTCATTGAGTTTTAATTTGATCAATCATCGAGTATCAGTCAAAGCTAAATATGTATTAATAATGATTTTTTGGTAAGCTTTCAAACTAACATGATTAAAAACATGGAATTTAATCCAATATTGAATAAAGATATTGCATATTCTGTTAATGTTCCTGTAAAGCTTTTTTAATAGCGAAGGGGAAGAATCTAATTGTATTAATTTTTTTAACTTGTGAAGAACCGTGATATGATATAAAATGATGCTACTGATGGTTCTAAAAAATAAAAATTAGAAATACGTAGTGGGTCTAAAAACGATCTCGGGCTAGGCAACACTTTGATTCGATCGTAAAGTTATTCAGAAAATTTGATGCATTCTTATCAACTAAATACGTATTACGACATGACAATGATACCTGATTGGAGTCCAAATTCAGAAAAGATAAATGCAATAAGCCTACAGTACATAAAAATAATATCTATTGGGCAATGTCACAATTGATAACGAGAAAGTTAGAGAAAGTCATAAATGCGTAGAAAAGATATTCATCTTACTCTTTAATCAGTAACATGCGTATATCCAACGTCAAGATATGTTAATTTCCTTGGCAAATAGATTTACGGTGATGCATTATTGATACGCATTTATTTAAGCTAATAAGGGTAAATTCGTAAAAAATTTTGTCTGGTGTTAGTAACATTTTCATATATATGACATTATACCGTCTAGATAAACAACATCGGCATCCATAGTTAAGGTTCGATCAAGGTATAACTCAACTAAAATTCCAAATCTAATTATGAATAAAACAATTATTGTGGCAGCTTATGCTGAGATTACTTATGCTAAAAATTTAAATTATTTTATTATGAAATTATAAAATTTTAAGGGCTTTTTTAGAGGTGTTTATTATAGTTTTTTAGGGGTTTAGGGTTAGGGTTATTAGTAAAAATGTATAGGTGAATTTTAATAGGTATTTTAGATTTAAATAGAGACCCCCAGATCTCAGTACAAGCCGTCACACTAAATATTACAAAGTTAACTTGCTTTTTTTTTTTTCAATCCAATTAATCTACGTCAATGGTTTCTATTGATATAATTTCAATTATGATTTTAAATTGACATATAACTTACATTTTTGTCATATAGTCACGTTCTGAAAAATACATCATTTTTAAATAATGAAAACCAGAAAGTTTTACCGACACAAGTGGAGGTGCTAACTGTACACTCTCAAGATTGAGACGTCGAAATTCTGTAAGGCATTTATAAACAAAAAAGATAATATTATAGAAAATAAATAAAATATTTTTTATAAGATATCTTTTTTTAATCACATTATAAACAATAATAATCACAGACTGATAGCGTGAATTGCCAAGAAAAATAGATCAATAAATACGTAATTGATTAACTTGTTTAGATAAATTGAAAAGAAAACAATTTAATTTTTTTTGACGCATCTCTAGTTAAGTCAGACAACTCGTAAATGAATAGAAATCTCATACAGTCGTCCCTCCATCCTTACAATTACATCAAATGTTATAAGCACATTTTTTTGCTAAACTTGTGATTATACAGGATAATAATTTATTAACATTTAAAAAAATTTAAATAAGTTAATAAAAAGCAGAAATAAAAGTAAATGCATATATAATTTAATTCAAAAATAAAGTTTTAAAATTCCCATCGGATTTCTAGCGGTTTACTAAAATATTCTGAAATTTTTTTAGTATCATATAACTTGCTAGAATATATGTCTTGTGAATGTATTTGTTTAGGTTGTTCTGGTTTAATCTTATCTGCTTCCAAAATTTGTTTTTTGATTTCATTATCATCATCCTGATCCATTTCATCTAACCAACGGTCGATTATTTCAGTAATTTCTGTTGTACTAGGTCGTTTATCAAGTTCTTCATCCATACATTTCATAGCCAATTGAATATAACATTCAGGTCCTAAACATTTAGGTCTTGATCCTCCGATTATTCTTGATGCAAGATAATAATCAAATGGAATTCCATCAAATGCTCTTTGTCCGCTCGAAATTTCTGTCATGATAACCCCAATACTGTAAATATCTGACGCTTGAGTGTATGACCGACCCATCAAAATCTCTGGTGCTACATACGGCAGAACTCCACAAACTTTTCCTTCCTTTACTTTTCCAGAAAGCCCAAGATCTGTGATATATGCGCTATGCAAAACACGATATTGCAAAATGTTTCCACTGTGTAAATCCCTGTGAACGAGTTCTTGTGAATGAATTGATTCGAGATCCAAAGCTATACACTGCAAGAGACTCAATTTATCTTTCCATTCCAACTGTGATACTTGTACAAGATTTTGTCGTAATGAACCTCCTTTTGCATAATTCAAAACAATAATATACTCACCAGAATTATTTCTTGATACTCCAATACATTCCAAGAACGAAGGATTCTTATAACCAATTTCACAGTAATTTTT